GTATGCTGGTCCACTACCACTGAACGTTCCAGGAAAAATGAAAGTTACTAGAACAGGCCAATTAACCCCATCTTTTCGTCTCTATAAAGTATATGGCTTACACAAGCATGCAAGGCAGTCAGGGGAACCCAAACACTTAAAACTCAACTATGTCAAAGATAAACCAAAAACTTTGCATTAAGAATTAATTATACAACAGTGAAACACGAGAGAATTTAGTAAACAATACCTGAGGCCAGTGATTGCATCAAACAGTTTCTCATTAGCTGTCCACACCTTACCAATGGCTCCAAATAACTTGGAAATTAATTGTCCATCATCTTCAGTAGCCGCAGCCCCCAGGCTGATAACTACGTATATTATAAGTATATTGGTAAAAGTGTATTATCATCCTAAATGGAGAAACCAATAAACTCAAAATTGGATTTAACAGAGTGGCAGAAAGGAAAATCATGAAATAATCTGACAAAGAAATGAGAATTGCAGGGGGAAGTATCTTAAAGTAAATAATACTGAATGATAAAGGTGTTCCACATCTAAAAGGAGCTAGAAATCGAAAATGATGTGGTTTGCCATTTATTTTCTCTGTTTAACAATCACAATGACAACGAGGATCGGATATGCAATTCTATCATGACATGTTTTAAGTCAAGTGAAGTCCCAAGTTTTCAATCAAACCATCAAGTCTAAAGTTTAGGCATTCTAAAAGTCACAAGGCACAAGGCAAAGACAGGAGAGATAGGAACTGGTGTACCAGATGCTGCATTGCCAACAGCAGCCGGGGTGTTTGGCATAACTCTAATAAATCGACTGTGACCAGCCCACTCCTAGACAAATGAAGCGTGACATGAGTGAAGTGATGAAAAGATAAATATGGAGTCATAAAAATTACAAAATGTAGCTGCGCAGAAGGAAGCCAAACACGAGGCCTATGTTTGGATTAGTTGGTGATTACAACTTTTGAGAACCATGTGAATCTCTATAAGGCAAAGAATATGGAGGAAGTCATGGAACTTATAATAAAGCATTAAAAAATTAACTGTGCCCATAGAACATAAAAGCCAAAAGCCTCAAAGATAATAACACCAACAAAGTGAAACCGCACAAACCTGCAAATCTTTTAGTTGAACTCCAGCAACAACTGACACCAAAAGCTGCTTCTCTGAGAGGAGTGACCTCAACTGCAGTACCACTCCTTTAACTGCAAATATGTTAGGCATCAAGAGAATAGCTTAGTATTCAAAGAAACATCTAAGAAATCATCTTCTCAGAAGTTCAGTGGAAGAATTACAAAAAAGATGAAAAAGGAACCAGAAGCAAACAAATATCTGCAAGAGTTTTCTCAATAGATTATTTTTAATTTTATGACGAGCATGGAAAAACATGTTTCTATCCTGAATACTTGGCAATTAATTCAAGTAACCCACAGTATCCACTATCCACAGATTGAAATATTTTAGTTCTAGTGCGTCCCACATAAGTTTTCACATGTTTGCTGAATGTTTTACATATATAATATTCAAACTACCAATAACTCTAAAAGGACTGATTGAAATAGATGTTGCCAACTTGTAAAATCCTCATAGGAGTTGTTACTCGCTTATTCAAGCTTTGAAAACAGCCTATTTTTTTTAATAAACCACACGATTATCAATAGCTCATCTGAAAAATAAGAAGAAAGAACTTAAGACACTTATCCAATCTCCTCTTAGCACCTTGATAGATTGAAAGTTTCCAGAAACTAACACAAATAAAAGTCACAGGAAGGGACCAAACAAAAGAAAAGAACAGAGGAAATGGAGCTAATGGATAAGCTAGAACAATACCAACTTGAGGCTTCACAGATAATATGACAACATCACTGTCTTCAACTACCTGTTTTTGGGACACACAAGGTAAGTGAAAAGATAACAATTCATATTCATGACAAACCAGTAATAATGAGCTAAAAAATATTCCACAATGGGTTAAATAAAAAGCAGTTAACCCCTACAGCTCTATCTCGACAAAAAATTGTCACAAGTTTACAACTATGTTAGAAAAACAACCAAATGCAATCAGAAAAATTAGCAGCAACTTTCTGTAAATATTTTCATAAGACATCTATTTAGCCAACGTTGGGCCACCTTATTTTCTCATTAAAATGAAAAATATGACTGTTATCCATCTCATCAACATTTAAATTCAAATTTTCTATCTCTTGTGTGAACCCCAATAACGGCTATATTTTTCATTCTCATTCTACAAAAAGGTGGCTCAAACAAGGCCTTAATTTCACTGTTGAGTGGAGAAAAATTAGCATTGAAGCATAGCCAGAATAAGATTTTTTTGTATTTCAACTACTAATCCAATTTCCATAGCCAAAGAATCAACCACATCACAAACTAAAGTTTTACTTTTGTATTATGCACATTTTTGGGCACCAATGAACATTTGAACTGCTCTTAAAGATTGCATTCAGGTGCGCCTCTCTGCCCTTTGTGCTTAGAACTGCATGTAACAACAATGCATTCAATAAATCTTATCTTTATATGAACTTGAAGGAGTTTTTAAGAAATTACCTCTGGAAATTATAAAATCTACAATTACTTATTTGATTAGGAATTATCCAGCTACATATTTTTCCATGTGTTCACACAAAAACATGGACAAATCAGCCAAAAGCATCTAGCAGTATAAGTTTTGGTGAACACAATAGAATGACAACTTATCCTTTGCATCAAGATTTTGCTTTTCTGTTTTAATTTTTTATACAAACACCCCGCACACATACGAATAGAGAGAGACAGAGGATAGTGGATACCTGACTGTTATGATCTAGGACTTTGACGCCAAAAGATTCAAAAGCAGTACGACGAGCATATCCAAGATGTGCAGTTCTAATCTGGGAAGCAGGCAACAGACCTGATTTGACTACACCTCTTGCGATGCTCTCAGCCATTTTTCCAGCCCCGATAAAACCTAGTTTGTAGGAGTCACTTGGAATTGGTACAATGGTCGTCATCAAGAATTTTCTAGAAAAGGCTAACAATTGACATCGTGTTAGATGGAATAAAAATGTCTTTCGGATAAAAGCACCAGCAAAAAATTCATTGTAGGTTGCCATGGAAAAAATCAAACCCCCTAATTTCCACTTTGAATTTTCAACAATTACATATTTCCACAATGGCCCTTTGGGTATTAAAAGACAAAAATGTCCTTAAATATGTTATACAACTACAAAATTTGTTTTATTTAAAAGAAAATACTGCCCTTTTAGTTAACAAGTAAAAATCAAACATTTTCCATTTAAAATTTTAAAACCCGCTAAATTTTCTTATATGTTTATTCCAGCAAAAATAGGGCTGGACAAAACTCCTGAACCGACCGAATCAGACCAGAACCGAACCGAGCCCAATGGCTGCGCCGATTTTCGATTTTTTTTATAATTAAAAATTTTATTTCGTCATGGAGATATGGATGAAATCCCAGTATGTTGCTTTGGTGATTTCGAATTCGATAAAAAAGATCGAAGGTATGTAAATGGACAAGTGATATATGTGGTGGTATTCCAATTTTCATAACATCTAGTACATTATATGCGAAAATGTACCATGATTTACAAAATAAGCAGAAAGTCGATAGCTCTCAGAACGATATGGAACTGAGAATTCTATTCAACGAGCATTCATCATTTTCGATTTCAAGACGAACTTAGTAGGTAGTTTTTTTTCTTCTTTTTTTTTTTTTTTTTTTTTTTGGAGAAAATCTCTCTATTGGTTATGAAGTAAGATTTTTTTTTGTAAAATTGAAAAATTTTCTTAAAACACCGTCATTAGTAAAACCATCTTCACTCAATAGTCAATACTTTTTGATCAATTAGGCTTTCGTCTATTTTATTATGCGGTGATTATATTCACACTATATTGTTGATAGGGTAATTAGCAAACAACGTTCCTACCTTTCAGAATTATTGTGAAAAATGCCCCCACCTTCCTTTTTTGGTATTTTCACCCTTAATTACACATTTGATTGTGTAAAACATCATTTTCATCCAAATTCTCAATAAAAGACTATAAAATGACGAATATACCCTCATATTTAGAATAAAACAAAAATAAAAGAAAAGAAAAATAAAAAATTAATTGCAATCATAGTCAAGTACTCTTCTTCTTCTCCACCATCACTGCCAACTTCCCTAATCCCAAATTCCCAAATTAAAAGGAATTCCCAAATTCAAAACATTATAAATACAAATTAAAAGGAATTCTCAATTCCATTCAGAATTCCCAATCACTGAATCACATTCAGCATTCCCTAATCCCCACCAATTACCAAAGTAATCAAATTCGGTGATTGCTCATTAGCCCATCCCCAAAATATGAAAATAATCCAAATCCCATTATTTGATTCCCTACCATTACTCATTAGCCCAGCACGCAATTTGATTCCCTACCATTCCTCCATCGAACACGCCTTCCCCTCCTACGAACACAATCCCATTATGAAAATAATCCTAATCCCATTACTCATTAGCCCAGGGCAACAATTATGAATTACAACAATATAAATAATCAAGAAAAAATATAGAAAAACAAGTACCTTCGTAGGCGTGGCAGTAGCAGTGGCACGGCGACGAGAGAAGAAATTGAGGTATGGTTTCAATTCAATGCGTTGGGTTGAAGAAAAGCAATTGGGACGATGGGATCTCAGATTGGGAATGAGTTGGAATGGCCACCAGATGTTTTTGTTTAAATGGACTTTTTTGACCAAAATTCTTTAAGAGGAAAAAGAATTAATTATTTAAAAATTTCAAATGTCTATTTTACCCTCCCTTGTATAACTAAATAAATGAAGAATTTTGAATCAAAATCTGGCCTAGTCAAGCACGTTTGATCGAATCTAAAAATTTTAAAAACCTGTATGAAAGATGCTCCCCACACCACTAGGACATTGAACAATATTGTTTATATTATTACAATAACACATAACGATTTTTGATGTCCAAGTATTTGAACCTTAGAAAACTACAGTCAAATAAGAACTATAACGACATAGATACCGTTTCTTTTCATATAAAACGATAATTATATCGTTCTGGCTAAAAATAATGATTTTATCTCTCCAAATTTGTACTAAAATGATGCGGATATCGTTATGTTATTTTGTAAGTTTGATACTTATGATTTGTTGTCGTTTCTCTAAAATTATGTGAGAAAAGGTCTTTATTGAACGAAGGACAAGATTTTGGAAGTAGTGTATTTTTCATACTGGAACAACATCAATTTCGCTTTATATCTCAGGAACGAATTCAATATCGTTATATAAATTAGTGCAATTTTCGTACTAGAACGACATAAATATCGTTTTGTGTTTCAAGAACGATTTCAATGTCGTTATGAAAATCTATGCATTTTTCATACAAGAATATTTTAGTAATTTACAAATTGTATTTTCCTTTTCTTTGTATCTTGAGGCGATCTAACTAAAAAACTTAGTCGGTGGACTTTTTAAACTAAAACTTGGTTTGACTGGGCTCATTAAATGAAGTCCCCGTTTGAGATTCGGGTTGGGATAGGTTATAAAGCTAAAATACATGTAGTAAATTAGGTAAAAAAAAATAAACTGAGTTAAGTTGGAGGAAATATGTGTAGATAGCCCAAATATCATGCCATAATTCCAAAATGGCCTTTGACTTTTCTAAATAATTGAAACTACCTAAAATACCCCAAGTATAATAATTACATCTAAGTACCAAAATAAGAAAAGAATACAATCAAGTCCTAGATTATCATAAAATGACTAATAAAAATTATAAAAAAACCTAGAACTAAAAGAGGACCATACAAGATTAAGAAGATAATAAAAGATAAAAATGAATTTGAATTTGAAAATGAATTCGTTAAAATTGGATATCAAGAACTATTAAATGCATCTCAAAAAATATTAAAATGCTTTAATTGAAAAAATTTGCTAAGGGAATAGTAAGATCTATAATAATAAAAAAATATACATGATATTATAGACAAATTGGAAAAAAGAAAAAAGAATATTTTTAAATATGATATACCTTTTAACCCAAATATAGATATAATAACAGATCTTGATATTATAAATTCTCAAATATTATTAGATTTTGAAGATTTACTTAAAACATTATAAATGAGAAAACATATTACAAACAGATTACCTCAAGCATATAAAGATATAAAATTTGAGTTGACATTAAGATTTTATATAGCCATAATAAATAATAGATTAAGTTTAAAGAAATTAAAAGAATACTTAGAATATTAAAGAATCCCAAAAGAACCATTTTAAGATTTCAAAGATTGTTAGATTTTTGTTCGCTCATAGTAGCACCCCTCAATTGGTATCAAAGCCAATGATCTATAAAGAACTATAGAAATCATGGAAATTACAATCACTAAAATGAATAAATATTATATAAGATAATGGAAATTGAAGATTTAGGTAATAAATATAAAATAATAAGAAAATAAAATTTTAATATAATAATTATAAAACCAATATTATTTAATGAAAGAATAAAATTTACACTAAAAGCGCTTGAAAAATTACCTATAGAAATAAGACAATTTATAATTGAAAAAATAAAATTAGGAATTGTTAAAGATATGTATACTTATGAGATGATATTAGAAATATTTGAAGAAAATATGTATAATCTAATTAAGGAGATTCCAAAGAGATAAGAAAGATGTGACCAAAGGAAGAGAGCTGCATATAAAAACAATCTCTTAAAGAAGATGTGACTATAGTGGAGGTGCCAGTAGGCTCTTAATGAAAAAGCACAAATTATTTAGTGCTATATGATGTATGCAATGATGTAAGAGGTCAATAATTTTGCCTCAATTAGATGTATAAATAGAGGCATTCGGGCTAAGAGAAAGACAGAACGAATTCGAACACTCAAACTTGTGAGAAAGTCGAGAAACCTTCTGTCAGAATCTTATATCAATTTTCAGATATATCAATACTACCAATTTTTGATAGATTATTCACATTCCAATCTTCTTAAATAGAAATGAGTTTCTAAACTACTTTTCCCATATATTCTTGAAAGATTAAGGAAGAAATTTATTTCTTACTTTAACAAAAAGAGAGTTTTCTTTATTTAGGATCTGTAGTTTTAATTCTTGAAAAATATACAGTGAGAGCAAAATCTGAAATAGCAAGGATCCCGTAAATAAATTTATAATAAAACAATTTATAATTGAAGGTCACTATGTTCTAAGAATAAAAGCCAAAAATCAAAACTAAGGTAAAACTATTGTTTTTGTTAAAATTAGAAAGAATTCTTCTAAAATCTTAAAGCATCGAAGGGATTATTCATTTCAATGTTTATGTTTAGCATAAATTCTTCTAAAATCTTAAAGAATCGAAGGGATTATTCATTTCAATGTTTATGTTTAGAATTATTCATGATGTTTGAATTGTTATTGTTTTATCAGATTTAAAATGTCATGATATACAGTAAAATGATTAGATAATTTGTTAGAAAGAGTGTTAGAAAAAATAAAAAATATTAAATATTAAATCCCAATTAGAAGATAGAAATAGAGCATCTGAAGAATACAAAAGACTTATAGCAGAATATAAAAAAGAAATTAAAAATTATGCTAATTTATTAGATCAAATGATTGATTTATTTGCTAGAATCCTCAAATGATGAATTTGTTTGTTAGAATCCGAAATATAAGAAATATAAGATACTAATCTTTAAAGCAATGCATAAAAGAAGGATATGTCTTGCAGTAAATGAGAATCAATTTCATTAAGGGTAATATAGACTTTTTAACCTATTTTATAAAAAGGCCAATTAGAATAATGCCCCATTAAGTTGGAATGGGCTGAATAAATAACTGGGCTAGAACAAAAACGGGGAAAAAATCATAAATAAGAGTTCAACTATAACTCATTTCACAACTAAGATAAAAA